CCCCAAAACCCCAAAACCCCAAAACCCCAAAACCCCAAAACCCCTGTAATGAGTATCAATATTGATTGTTGTAAAATAAATTAAATATTTTTAAATGTTACTCAATAGGCGAAAGCTAAAGCTTAGTCAAGTCAAGCCAACAAAGATGATTAGCTCAAAGGGCAAATCTACAGATATGGACTTTGTCATGTTTAAAAGAGGTGTCACTGAGAGATTTAGAGTTCCTAGTAAAAAGCCATATGATAGTGATGATTCTGACTCCCCTGCAAAACCTCCCAAAGTCTTCACTCCAGAGATGATTCAAAAGATTAACAGAGAGATCATTGAAAGGCAGAAGAGAGAGGAGCTAAAGGTTGCTAAGAAGACGTCTAGCTTTCTTTCAACAGCTAGATCAGGTACAGCACCGACTCTTAATTATATCAATAAAGGGATGAAAGAGTCTCCTTCAGTTGGAAGATACTCACCAAGAGATATCACTATGAAGACAATGCCAAATTATTCTTTCGCAAAGAAGAAAAGAGACACCCATCTCTTCTTATTTACAAGTAGAGCAGGATCGAATAATCTATTTGACAAGAATCTCAATTACCAAAACTTTGAAAAACTGTTGAACAACAAACATAGAGGCACATTAAAATAACACTAATTTCCTGAAAACCAAACCTCAAGTAATAGCCAAAAAGAAGAGAGTAATGACTGCTCGCAGTCGTAAGAGACACACCCTTAGAAAATAAGAACGACACCAAGAGGCCAAAGTCCGGTCTGAAGAAATCACGTCCAAAAACCCCATTCTTGCTCTCTATGTCAAAATCCAAGACCAACAGTACTCTCTCCTCTAACCTCTAGCAGACCCCACCCACAAAAAGCCTAAAACTGCCATAAACCCCATCTTCCTAACAATGTCAAGCATGAATAAATCCCCTAGCTCCAAAATGATCAAGCTGAGCTCCATTAATTTCGACTTATAGCCCGAAGAGAAGTAATCCCCACTCACAAGTTGCTAACTTTAGCATATTTTATGAAATTTTAGAGTCCAATTTTTAGTCTTGAGGAGGGGTTTTGGGGTTTTGGGGTTTTGGGGTTTTGGGG